ACGTCTATTTTATAGGGGTCAGGTTGAGGAGGGGAGAATGAAGGCATCCCAGAAGCCAGGTCACCTATCGGCGGGACAGCATCCACACCGCGTCCCCTGCCAGAGGCAGGGAAGGCCCACTGTCCTCAGGCCTGCAAAGTGGGAAGGAGGAGACATCAGAGACGAGATCAAGCACAGAGGCACCTTTATTGGTTCCTAGGTCCCAGGATCTTGCCTCCCCCTCCCTCGCTTCCTCAGCAGGTCCGCCTCACCCCCTCTTGTGCAGGGGCGAGGGTTGGGGCATCAGACTTGGCTCCTTACAGAGGGAAAGGGCTTCCCACAGCCCTGTTTGCAAAGTCCTAGGAAAGACCCTGAGCTGGGTCATATGCCTGCCCTGTGGATCAAGGCCAGGGGGTATGCTGGGGAGGGACATGGTTGGCGTGTGTCTTGGGGTGAGTGGGCCCTCCAAGCAGCAGGAGGACCAAAGCCTGCCCTAGAGGACAGCACCCCAACCTGCATCTGTCGTGGCAGTCGGCTAAGGCACGCTGGCTGGATTGTGTCCTGCCTCAGAGGCCAGAAATGTGTGGGCACCTGATCCTCTTTGGACTCGGGGCTGACAATGCAGCTACTTTTTCCTCCTGGGAGTATGGGAGCTGCTGCTGCAGTTGTCAGGGGCTGGGGCGGGCTGTTTGCTGGCAGCTCCAGAGTCCTTCTTGGGGGCTGGCTTGTGCTTCTCCTTGGCCAGAGGAGAGGAGTTGGGGGAATGGGGCCCCAGCAGGGCCTGCATGACCCTAATGGCCCCCACTGCAGCGAGGAGCCCCCAGAGCAAGGTGGAAGCCTCCAGGGGAGACAGCTGTTTCCGTATCCAGCGGAGGGCCTGGGCCAGGCTGTTGCCAGAGCTGAGGGCTCGGGGCGGGCTCCTGTCCTGTGGGTGCAGGATTGAGGGAGGTCCACAAGGACCACCCCTGTGGGGGAGGGTCACCCCTGCCACTTCCCCCTCCCTAACACCTTCCCACCTGGAGGCCAAACTGTCTGAGCAGCATGTCCAGCGTTGGGTCCCCCAAGGACACTGGCGGGAAGAATTCTTCCACCCACTGGCGTCGCCACCACTGGCTGCAACAGGGCAGGGTGTTCAGGGGGCGCCTGAGCCCAGACCCCAGCACCCCACCTGGCACCCTGGCCTTACCTCTGCTCCCCAGGATGTGAGAACCAGTACTTGTAGCGCTGGGCCCGCACGTAGGTGGGCGGCTGCTTGTGGAAGGGGTACCTAGCCACATCGTTCTGGATGAGGCGGATCACTGCAAGGGAGTGGGGCTCAGCACAGCCAGTGCTCCCTCAGCCCCAGCCTCCCCTTCCCACACACCCTGTTTCCCCTAGATCCTACCCTTCCCACAGACCCTCCCACTGTCCCATCAGCCACCCCCCTCCAAATCCCCACCGGGCCTCACCAGGGTCCTTGCCCTGCAGCAGGCGCAGGACCAGGCTCGTGAACCAGGGGCTGTGAGAGTGTGGGCCCAGGGCTGCGAACCACATCTGCCAATCGAGGCGGGGCTGGTGGGGCACCACGACAGGGGGCGGCCGACTCACATTCCCGGGCTTGTACATGAACTCGATCTCCTGCCCGGCAGAGCACGTCAGCACTACCCGCTGGACCGGAGGGGCCCCTCCCCACTTCCCTGCGTGGCCCACGGGAATGTCTACCGTCCAGTGTTGCCCATCATAGCTGCCCTCCAGCACCACTTCGGGCCGCCCGCCCAGACCGGTCATCCGGCGGAAGAGGCCGTAGGAGTTAGCCAGCTGCAGGTGCTCTACGGCACCAAAGAGGCGGTGTGCCCCGGTCCAGAGATGCCCATGGCTCGAGGGCTCGATATAGGAGTATGGCACCTGGAGGCAGGTGGGCAGAAGCTCAGTGCTGTCCCTCCAGCCCCCACCCTCCTCCCCAAGTGCTACCCACCAGGCTGATCACAAACAAGGCCACCGTGGCAGTGCCAAAGATGAACAGCTGGACTGCAGTGCAGAGCTTCCTCAGCCACCCTCGCACCTGGGTCCACCTGGGGGGCGGGGGACCCAAGTGCTGTCAGGCCTGCCCTGCACAACTCTACCCCACCCCCTTGGACCACATACCTCCAGAGGGCATTCAGCAGTTCCCAGGTGAGGGAGGCAACCCCCAGCCACATGGTGGGCAGGGTCACCATCTTTAGCCACTGGGTAAACTGGTGGAAGGTAAAGGCTGCAGGAAAACAGGGGTGTGAGGAGGGGTGGTCCAGCCTCTGTCCTCTGGCCCCCCAGCTGGCACTCACTGGTTCTGGAGTGGACAGCATGCTGCTCCCAGTCAACTTCCAGGCCGAAGCAGTGCACGGTGCCGTAGGCCAGCAACCCATAGATGGTAAATTCCAACAGCAGAGACAGCAGAGACAGCAGAGCCCTGGGCCAGGCTGCCGAGCACGAGAGTCACAGGTTGGCTGGGGCGGAACTAGAGCAGGGCTTACTTGGGGGGTGTTGGAGGGAAGGAAACTTGCTAGTGGGCCATTGGGCTGACCGTACTTGGCTATCTGGGACAAGCTGACACTCACAAGTGGGTGTCTTTTTGCAGTGGCTGTTGCCAGACTCAGCAGTCAGGTGCCCATCATCCAGAAGAGCAGTGGTGAGCACCAGAGTGAGCAGGTTGAAGAAGTTATAGTTGCCAGTGATGATAATCAGGACTTGCAACAAAACCTAGAGGAGAGCCTGCACTGAGAGCTCCTGAGGTCCACCGCCTTCCTGGCCCTTCCGAAGCTTCTTCCAAGCCCCTCTGCACCCCATGCCTGGGTCTCTCCTACAGGCATCCCATCCCCTTCTCATCACCCCCTGGCCTGTTATGCTCCCACTCCAACTGTTCTCTACCCCTGCTCCCACTGTCCATGGCTCCCTATCACCTGGAGCAAACTGAAACTCGGCATGTTTCGTGCAGCCCTTCCCCACCTGCCTCGGCTAACCTGACTGACATCTTCCAGTGAGGCCGCAGCCCTGCCCTACAGGCTTGCCTTCACCTCCTGAGTCAACTCATGCCTCCGCTCGTGAGGCCTTCCTGACTGCCTGCAGCAGCCCCTCCATCCCAATGGGACCCACTGGGCAGTGCTGAAAATGCCATGTCCTATCTTCCTGATGGCTGAGGTCCCTACCCACCTGGGAGTAGAAAGCCGCCAAACGCAGGCGGCGAACAGGGGCAAAGAACAGCGGGGGCACTGCAATCTCGATGAGGAACGTGGCCACCACGGAGAGTTTCTGCAGCCAGACCGGCAGGTGGTGGGCGAACCAGGAGGCAGGTGTGGGCAGGCACTGTGTTTCGTAGTGGTAGGTGAGGGCTGCAAATGGTAAGTGGGGGGTCAGTGTGAGGCAGAACCCCCAATGCTGCCCCACATTCAGGATGGGACCCTCACCAGTAAGCCCCCACCATGCGGGGCAACGGCTGGTCAGCTTGACCACACCCGAGGCAAACATGAGGCGAAACAGCAGCCAGCGCACGAGCCAGAAGGGGAGGCCTTCGTGGGGCGAGGCCCCTACCAGCCTGCCCTGGGGGGCCTGCTTATGGTGGGGGGGCTGCCTCAGGGGGGCCACCAGCACCGCCAGGAAGCCAGTCTCCAGCAGCAGGGAATCCCTATGGGGAGAAGGAAGAGCACAAGGGGCCCTCCCCATCAAGGCTGTTCCTCCCGAGGGTCCTCCCTGGAGAGGCAAACGTATTCCGCCCTGGCCCTCCTCTCCCCTCCCCCCCACCCCCCCCCCGCACCCCCTCACCCAGAAGTCACTCACCACTGGAAATAAAGAAACACCTGGCCCACCTGCAGGGAGAAGGGTGGTCAGGGAGCAGGGGGTGTGTGTCTGTGGAGGCAGGCAGGGCAGAGACAGGGGCGAGGTGCAGGGTGGACAGGTGACATGGGCCTCAGTGCTGTGGGGGGGGAGCAGGCAGCCCCCACTTGCCTGGCAGGCCGACAGGTAGGCAGCCCAGAGCAGCAGGTAGACGAAGAGGTTGCGCAGCCTGCGCATAAGCAGCGCGCCCAGGGCTAGCAGGGCGCCCAGCAGACTCAGCAGCTCCAGGCCCTGCGAGGTGTCCAGCCCCAGTTGCGGAGCCTCCCACAGCAGCGTCGGGGTCTCCCACAGCTGCTGCCAGCGCCCCTTGCCCTGTGGCCTCAGCGTCCTCCGTGCAGGCAGGATGCCCTCGGCACCATACAGGCCTGTGGGAGGGCACGTCAGGGCCCTGGACACCGCCCTCCAAGGCTAGACTTCCCCCACCAGGCAGGGCCTGGCCCACCCCCTGAGGTCTAGACTTGCAGGACCTGCAGACTCTGGCCAAGCAGGTGCGAACCCGCCGATCCCCAGCCCCTGCGGGACCAGACCCCAGGAGGCCTACCAGACTGCCCAGGTCAGGGCCTCCCACCCAGCGGAGCTGAGGTCCCCCCCCTTTCCATTCACCGTCTTTTCTCCCACCTGCCCTGCCAGGTCTGGGCCCACCCCGCTCAGGATTCTCCCCCGGCCCCAGGTCAGATCCCGGAACCTCCGGGAAACGGGCCACAGCACGCCCCCCTTCCTCCCCAAGCCCCCGCCGCTCGCAGGACGCGAACCGAAGCCGCTACTCCGGGCTCCGAGGCCTGGTCCTCACTCCACTCCCGCCCCCCACACCCGGCGGAGTGTCCGCGGACGTGCGCGAACAGACGGCGCGGGCTAGGGGGCGTCCCTCTCTCGGCGCCCTCACCCGGGATCTGCATGTAGAGGGACGCGAAGGCGAACGTGAAGACCGCGGCCACGCCCTGAAGGAAAAGCTGCCGCGGGCCCTCGGAGCCCGCCATGTCCGCTACGCGGCGGGCTGCAGACGCGCTCGCTGGGACGCCCGGCCCCGCCCCGCCCCGCCCGGCCCCGCCCCGCCCGGCCCCGCCCCGCATGGCCCCGCCCCGCCCCGCCTCCAGCGCGGCGCGTGGCGCCGGGGTGCTTCCTCGCCGGCTGTGGCCGCGTGCGTCATAGATGTGCGCGCGGCGTCGCGTGCTACGTCCTTTCCCTGGGCGGGAACAGCAAAATGGCGCCAGAACTAGTGGCGGGCTGAGGACGCTGGCTCCCCTCGAAGACGGTCCTGCGGTCCCCGGGCCGCCCCGGCCCCTCCCGGACATGGAGGACGTGGAGGCGCGCTTCGCCCATCTGCTGCAGCCCATCCGCGACCTCACTAAGAACTGGGAGGTGGACGTGGCGGCCCAGCTGGGCGAGTATCTAGAGGAGGTGAGTGCGGCCCCGGGGGAGTGGCGCGGGGTGGGCGGGCGGGGCCGCGAGGCGGGGCGGCGGGCCGGGGGCTGCTGGGCGGCGGCGCCCCGCCTCCTCGTCTGTGTCTGTCCGCGTTCTGGCCGAACTCGTTCTCAGGCTCGGCTTTTTTTTTTTTTTTTCCCCCTGTTCCACTTCTTCTTCTTGAAATTTTCTCTTATTAAAGTAGCCTGGAGTTGTCATCACAGGTCGCTACCGGTTAGTGAGCCGTGAAATGGATTTAGTGGGTGGTGACTAGCACTTTTCTCTAGTGTAGCAGAATAGACTAGAATTTGTATGCATGTGTGGGTATTTGAGAGAGCTGCATCACGGGTGAAGAGGGATTTTCTTACCTTGGATTTTCAAACCAGTTTCGGGCTACTGTCCTGTTCCCCCTCGTCAGCATTTAGTCTTTCTTCATACTGGAGAGCCTTGTCTAGGCTTTGTAATGAGCTGTTTGCTCCATTTGTGCACTTCGCTTTCACTCCGCAGCCCATCTGGACTGCTCTCATGTTTATCAACAGTGACGTGCATCCTGCCAAATCCAAGGGACGCTAGAAGTGTGACCTTATTCAGCCCAGCAGCATTTGTTGGGCTGACCACTCCCTCTTTTTGGAACAGGTTTACCTGCTCTGATTTTTTCCTCGTGTCATTTGCTTACTCTTTCTCTGCTGTCCAGTCTGTGTGTTGAGCTCCTCTGGGCAGGTCCTGGGCCATCTTCTATATCTCTCCTAGACAGTCTCACTTATTTCCATGATTTTAAGTGTTACGTGTATGAGGATTATTGACTGATTTATGACTCCATCCCAGATCTTTTCTCTGAATTTATTTTCTGTGTCCAGCTAGTCACTTTGACATTCTACTTAGATGTTCTGTGCAAGCATCTCACATTTAATACATTAAAACAGAGCTTTTGGGGCGCCTGGGTGGCTCAGTCCATTAAGCGTCTGCCTTCAGCTCAGGTCATGATCTCACGGTCCTGGGATTGAGCCCCGCATCGGGCTCCTGCTCAGTGGAGAGTCTGCTTCTCCCTCTCTCTCTGCCTCCCTCTCCCTGCTTGTGCTCTTTCTCAAATAAATAAATAAAATCTTAAGAAAAAAAGTGGAGCTCTTGCCTAAATCCCAGTCTTCCTGATCTTGGTAAATAGCACTACTGATCAATGAAAAGTGAGAGAGAGCTAAGAGCTGCTTTAGTGAAACCCCATGCTTCACACCCAGTTCACCCATGAATTCTGTTACACCACCAGAATTTAACTTGAATTCATCTGTTCTTTACCTCAGGTTCGTGTAAAACTTTCCTTCCTAAGCTCCTTAAAGCTATTTTTGCCCCATCCAATTCATACTCTATCCAGTAGCAAGTGTGACTCAGCTGCAGTGGTGCCCTGTTTTAAACGCCTCGGGGGCTTCCTACCGCACTCAGCATAGAGTAGAAACCTTTTCTGAGTCTGGCCTTGCTGACTCTTTTAGCCTCATCTTGGGCTCCTCTCCACCTGTTCTTTTGAGCCAGTCGACCTACAACTCTGGAACTCATTCTTTTTTTTTTTTTGATAAGGAAATTTACTTATTTTATTATTACTATTATTATTATTATTTTTAAAATAAACTCCACACCCAGCCTGGGGCTTGAATTCAGAACCCTGAGATCAAGAGTCGTATGCTCTACTGACTGAGCCAGCCAGGTGCCCCTGGAGCTCATTCTTGACCGAGGGTCTTTATGTTTTCTGCCCCCACTGGGGAATATTCTTTGTCCAGTTCTTTTTATAACTGATCCCCTCATCCTTTTTTTTTTTTAAAGATTTATTTATTCATGAGAGACAGAGAGAGAGAGAGAGAGAGAAGCAGGCTCCCAAGGAGCAGGGAGCCCGATGCGGGACCCGATCCCAGGACCCTGGGATCATGACCTGAGCTGAAGGCAGACGCTTAACCATCTGAGCCGCCCAGGCGCCCTAATCCCCTCATCCTTTATGTCTCAGTTTAAATGTCAGCTCACCACACTGTCTAAAATAGTTCTCTTATAGTAAATTACTTGCTTTAGAATGTTTTATCACAATCTATTCTTTAACTTGTTCACTTGTTTGTGGTCTTTCCCTTCTAGAATGTAAATTATGCTAGGGCAGGGACCATGTGTATACTCTGTTCCCTTTGCATAATAGAATGCCTGGCACATAGTATGCATTGATTAAGTGTTTGTTGAATGAATACTTGATCTGTTGATCTCTTCTGTTTGGACATGTAGACTGCTGAGAAAATTCAGAGAATTGTGCTGAGTGGGGCTACTATGGGTTCAGGTTTCCACAGTGAGCAGGGTGCTTGGTGATGCCTGGTAAATCTACTTCCTAGCTTGGTCAGCTCCCTTCCGGCTTGCTTGCTTGCTTGCTTCCTTCCTTTCTAAAGATTTTATTTAATTAAAAAAAGGTTTTTTTTTTTTTGGGGGGGGGGGAGCCCGTAGGGAGGGGGGGGAGGGGGGAAAGCAAGAGAGAATCTCAAGCAGACTCCATACTCAGTGTGGAGCCCGACGAATGGTTCGATCTTATGACCCTGAGTTTATGACCTGAGCTGATGCTTCACCAACTGAGCCACCCTGGCGATCCAAAGGCTTTTTAAAATTTTTTTATTTTTAAGTAATCTCTATACCCAGAGTGGGGCTTGAATTTACAGCCCTGAAATGAAGAGTTGCATGCTCTACTAACTGAGCCAGCAGGCCACTCCTCCCTTCATGCTTCTTTTGCTCTTCCAGACCTTCTCTACTCTTTGAAGTCCTGATTTCCCTGCTTCTGGTTTTGTCTTTGTCTTCCTTTTCATTTCCCATGCAGCTACCAGAAAGCTTTTTTTTGTTTTTTTTTGTTTTTTAACTCAACACATTGTATCATGTTGCTATTCTCTTTCATCCCTTGGTTTGTTCATTGTTGTTGAGTGTCTGTTGTAGTCAAGAATCGTGTTAAACCCTGAGAAAATAGTGGCAAGGAAACAGTAGTCCCTGCTTCCCCCTTGTGGGAGGATGGATCCTAAGGAAGTAACCACGCAGAGTTGTTGGAACAGGTATTAGTTCTACAGAGAGGGTAAGAGATGGGCTCAGGGTCCTAGCTAATAAGTGGCAGAGCAGAGACCAGCCACCTCACTGTGTCTTTGTGTAAAAACAAACTGACAAGAGATTCAGAAGAAAAGTTGAGGACTCCAAGAAGAGTTTACCTGGGGGACCTAACTTTGGGTGAAAGGAGTTGGCTAGTCAAGTGAGCTGAAGAATGTTCCAAGGTTCTGAGGTGGGAAAGTGCTTGGCTCCATGGGGGACCTGGAGAGGGAGTCCCTTGTGACCGCTATACAGCGAGTACGGGAGGGTGGGCAACTGGAGAGGGAAGCTGGTTAGCATGCGAGGCTCTCTTTAGGATTTGGGTTTCTTTCGTAAGAGTGGCAGAAAGCCATTAGGGTTCTGAGTGGAGTGATGTAATCTGCCTTGTGTCTTCAGAGAAGCACCTGCTTGTGAAGAGGAGGCTGGGGGGGAGTGAAGGGCGGGAAGAACCCAGTTAGTGTCAAGGTCTAGGCAAGAGGTGGGGCTGGCTGAGCAAGAATGGTGGTCAGTGTGGAGAGGAGCAGACAGGTTAGCATGGAGCATGGAAATGGCCGGGAACATGGCATGGACTCAATGGGGAAAGTGAGAGAAGACAGGAGGGAGCTAAGATTTGCAGGTTTGTGGACGGGTGGTTGGGGGGATATCTAGGGTTCAGTGTGGACCTGTCCGGTATGAATTTTGGTTAAGACATCCAAATGGTGTTTGAAGAAGGCAGTTGGACATATGGGTTTTAGGCTTAGACAGGAGGTCCAACCTGGAGCATGCATTTAGGAGTCGTTTGAAGGCAGGTGGAGTGTGAGGTCCGACCAGTGGGTGAGCCAGCCTAGGCTGAGAAGAAAGGGCCACCTCTGCAGCTCAGGGCCTGGGTGACTCAGCTGCCCTCTCCTTCATACCCTGTCCTTTCAGGGAAAGCCCTTCACTTACTTCCGGAATGCTCTGCGCTCTCGCAGACTGTCATGCTCCTCCACTGACCTGAAAAACTTCCTCTGTCCTTCAGGAGTTAATAGAGTTGGCCTCTTGGTGGTGTCCACCCAGACCGCCCCTTCTTTTGGCCCCCAGAGTGCCTAATGTCTAACCTTGCTCCCCAACACACCCTGTGCTTTGGACATGTTTGCATAATACTAATTTTCCTAAATAGTTGAATCTCGGGTCTGCTAACTGCCTTTGTGGGAGTGGTTGCTCTTCCTAACCCTAACCCTTCATCTGCCTGGGGAGTGTCTGTCTTTCAGGCTTAGCCCTGATGCCAGCATTTTGTTTGTTCATCAGACATTTATTGGACACCAGCTTCAGGCCCTGAGGTAGAGGCTGGAATTGGCCCTAACAAGGCAGTGAGAAGCCCCAGGCATGTGGGCCACACTGCAGGAGCGTTCACACCAGGACATCTGGGAGCGGGCATTCTGGGCAGATGGAAAGCAAAGGCAAAGAGCTTGAAAAAACATGTTGGGGCTTCAGAGTGCTGTTTGCTGAGATTCGTGCAGGAGAGGGGGCAGGTTGTGGGGACCCCCTGGGTTAAGTCTGGAGATAAAAAGCTTGGGGACATTTAGCTGTCTTGGGGTGGCTCTAAGCACAGTCCTGCAGTGTAGGAGAGCACAGTGCTGTAGATGGGTTTGGGAATTGTTGGCATATGGTCTGTGGACCACTGACACTTGAGGTGATAGGAGCTGGGGCTCAGGGGAATCTTGGGGGGGGGGGTCCGGGCTTGCAGAGGAAGGAGGAAGACTCATTTGGAAGTATTTCCTTAGTTTCTGCTCAAAGGATTTAGACCTCCGCGATTTGTGTCTGTCCTCCCCACTGCTGAGGTTCCTGTTTCCTCCTCTCAGGGTGAGGGGTCTTCCTGCCTGATTCTATCCAAGTTGGCCTTGACTTGGATGGGCTCAGTGGAGCGCCTCCAGAAGGGAACCGCTATGCAGCTCTAGCTGTTTGTGGCTGATAGACTCTAGGGGCCTCCTTTTCCAGAACACTGCGTCTACCCTCCAAAAATTAAAAAACAAACAAAAAAAAAACAGAGCCCCGGGCAGAGTCAGTGCTCGAGGGGTGCCTTGTGATGAGCAGGCACTGCAGGCTGGGTGCTGGGTGGGCTCTGTGGGGAGAAGTATACGCAGATTTGGGCTTCCCAATGCCCTGGTGTTGTGTCTTGCAGCTGGACCAGATCTGCATTTCTTTTGACGAGGGGAAAACCACAATGAACTTCATTGAGGCAGCGCTGTTGATCCAGGGGTCTGCCTGTGTCTACAGTAAGAAGGTGGGCATCACCTGGCTGGTGGTCTAATGGGACTGAGGTTCACTCTCTTGGGGCAGTTGTCAGGCTCACCCCTGTCTGTTCCCTGCCTTGCCAGTGCCTCCTGTCTCCCCTCTTCCTCACCACCTTGTAACACAGCTTGGATTTATAATGGAACAATTATAATTGAAGAACCAACTTGGATTTATAATTGCAGGGCCTGCTGCTAATGCTAAACATCCAACAGTGTACAGGAGAGCCCCACGCAACAAAGAATTACCCAGTCTAAAATGTCAGTAGTCCCAAAGCCCAGAAACCGTGTTGGTAGAGTAAGAGGAAAAGCAGAATGAAGGGAACATCTTGAGGAATAACCGATATTTAGGAAGTGCCCACCAGGAGGAAAAGTCAGAGAAAGGCAAATAAAAAAAATGTTCAGAAGTCAGAGATGTAGAGACTTTTAAAGGGGAAGGAAAAAAGACCAAAATTGTTGAATTTAGTGAATTGACCCACACAGGAAAGGTTTTCAAGCGTCTAGTGGGTCTGTAATTAGAAGGTCACCAGGGGTTTTAGTGAGAGGGGAGTGAGACTGTGGGGTGGGGACAGGCAAGGAGGCACCACATGACCCCTTGTAGGACAGGTTATAGGGAGGGGGACAAAGATGGGCAGTAAGTAAAGCAGCTGTAATCCATCTCATGCCCAGCTAGCCCCTGCCTGGCCTAGTGAGATCAGAACCGGACAGTGGGCAGGTATCAGGATTTCTTAAAGCATCTTAGTGACAGCCGGGACTGAACAGCACAGAGCTGAAGGGTGAAAGGGCAGGTGGGGCGGCAGATGAAGCAAGATCCCGGTAGAAACAGTTGAGGAGTGGGCCAGGGCCGTGGGTTGCTGGGCCTCATCTCAGGAGTCTGGAGGGAGAAGTCAGTATTGATGTAGAGAAGTTGGACACAGGGATTCGGGGAGTTCCTGCCTGGGACCCCAGTTTTCATAACGGAGAATAAAAGTCAGTTGCTGAGAATCAGCTTCTGGGTAGGAAATTTGGAGAGTGAAATTTGGTGCAAGTTCAGAACACTCCTGCGGGGAAGGCAAAACAAGACTGAGAGCACGGGCAGTCTGATGGAGACTCCGTGCTTCTTGCTCTTTGTGTGTTTCCTCCAGCCTTGCTTAGCCGTCCCCTAGTGGGGGAGCAAGGAGAAGTGGGTGACAGCGCTGGTCCAGAATTGGCAGTTTAGAGGGTGGGAGAAAGAGAAAAGGTGCACAGGAGGTGAGCCTTTGGAAGTGTATAATGGGGTCCCAACTAGGGCAGGGTGAGCGGTCTACGTTCAGGCCTAACTTGCATAGGACACAATGGACTTACCTCTGGGCAGCAGAAGTTATTGAGACAGTTTAAGATCTTGTTGGTTTTTGTCCTAGATAATCCCATTAAATCAGATTCCTATGTTCTGCATTTGTCCTAAGAAGGAATGCTTGCAGCTAACCTCGCACGAGATGTGGGGTGACAGATAGATGCGTGGGTGTCTGGTAAAGCAGGTGCAAAGACATGTTAGAATAAAGTCTGGAAGCTGTGGGGCATCAGTGTCCAGCAGGACTTTCTGAAATGATGCAGTTGTTCTGTAATCTGGGCTGTCAAAAATGGTAAGTACTAGTTATATGTGGCCACCGAACCCTTGAAATGTGGCTAGTGTGACAGAGAAATTTTGAGTTTTACTAACTTTGTTAACTTAAATTTAAATTGGTAAAGCCACATGTAGCTAGTGGTTGTGGATTAGGTCATGCAGCCTGAGATTCACGCATCCATGGGTGCAAATCCTGGACCTACCCCTGATCCAGGTGACTTTTTCTCTCTGTTTATTCTCCTATGAAATGGGAACAGCAGTGATACCTACTTCAGACAGACCAGATGGGATGAAGCATGAACACAGTCCTGTATGTTTGGCAGATGCTTAAAAAAGTTAATGTTTATTAATCCTGATAAACGGGGCCCATTCCGTTGTGCTCACCACTGTGTCCAGTGTCTAGCGCCAAGCCCCATATATAAAAGAAGTGCAATAAACATCTGTTGTGTGGAAAAAAAAAAAAAAGGCAGGACCCAGAAGAGAGAGTTGTATGTGCTCTTGGGCGCCGTTACTCCAGAAGGAATGGCCCAGAGGTGGCCCATGTGCACACCCTGCTGGTCAGCATCTCAGAAATCCTGAGCCTCACCATAATGGTGGGGTCCCGGAGGTGGGGCACTGGTGGCCCACACCTGCGGGAGGGAAAGGAGCGAGCTATGGGTTCTGGGCGGGAGCAGCACGGAGACGGGCCAGTGGGCCGCACACAGGCTGGCGTGCAGGGCCTGCAGGCAAGCAGCACTGTCTGGGGACAGGGGAAGAGGAGAGGACCCCCGCTGATGAGACATGAGTCTTTCTGGCAGCTACATCGGCGGAACTTGTGCTGGAAGTGTCGGAGAGGACGGTGGGCTTCTCCACGTACGGGTTTGTCTCTTGGTGCACAGCGAGGGCTCTGGGGAGGGCCATAGAGCATCTGGGGCAGACTTTTCTTTCCACTCCTCACTGTCTGCTTCTGGTCACCAGGTGGAATACCTCTACTCACTGGTCTACCAGGCTCTTGATTTCATCTCTGGCAAGAAGTGAGTACTGGTCTGAGCCAGGAGGTGGAGGCCTGTGTGTCTGCCCTGCCTGCAGCTTGGGGGGAAGCCCTGGCAGCCTCCCAGACATCCATGTGTTGGTTCTCTCTCAGGCGGGCCAAGCAGCTCTCCCCAGTGCGGGAAAATGGGGCCAATGGGGACACCAGCTCCACAGCTCCCCAGGAGGCGGAGGACCAGGTGAGATTTCTTGGGTGCGTGGCCACTGCCCACTGTGCATGTGCCAGGCGCTGCTCCTGAGCTCTGTCTCCCCACAGTTCCTGTCGCTGGATGACCTCCCTGACTCCCGTGCTAATGTGGATCTGAGGAACGACCTGCCCCCCCGTGTGAGTGCCCCTCTGTCTGTAGGGGCTGCGTTTAGCTGAAGGGGGTGTTGGAAGGTGTCATCCCACCTGGGGCCCGCAGGACCTGTGGCTCACCCACTCTTGGCCTCCATGCAGGAGGTCCTCATCGTCCCTCTTCTGCCCATGGCCCTTGTGGCCCCTGATGAGATGGAGAAGAATGCCAGCCCCCTGTACAGGTACCGGCCTGAGCCTGGCTGAGGGGAGTCAGATGAGGGGAGAGGGCTGCTTGGGAAGGATCTCTGCAGTGGCTGTGTTTTTGCCCGCATAGCTGTCAGGGGGAGGTCCTGGCCAGCCGGAAGGATTTTAGGATGAATACGTGTACCCCCCACCCCAGAGGAGCCTTCATGTTGGAGCCAGTGGGCATCTCCCCCATGGAGACACTGATGCCAAGGAACCAGAAGGGTGAGGGCTTGGATATGGGGAGCTTAGGAAGGAAGGGTCCCCTGTGCCTGCCAGAATGCCAGTTCTGGCACCCCTTCCCCAGGCACCTGCACTGAAGATGGGTCTTCACTTTCCCTTTGCTCCCTCTTTGCCCATTGCTGGCTCAACCCAGGGTGCCTGTGTCCTGTGCCAGATCTCGACTCTCCCTGCCCAGCCCCTGGGAGGGGCCCCTTGGGGGAGGGGGAGGGCTGACCCTGTCCAATCTCTTGTCTTTCCCAGAGCCTGAGAGGGCTCAGGAGCAGCCAATGGAAGTCCCTGTGGTCAGCGTCTCCCAGGAGCCAGGTGAGAAGAGAGGACGTGGTGGACTTGCAGGGTGCAGGTGGGGGTGGAGGTCGGGGGATGGGGCTCTGCGCGGGGCTGTGCTCAGCTACCCCACGGATGAGGTGTGGGGAGCAAGGAAGCCTGGCTTCTTTGTGCCCAGGCCTCAGCCTCCCTCCCCACCTTGGCCCGCCGTGCTGTCTTGGTCTCATGACTGCCCTCTGACCATTCTTGGGCCTGTGAGGGTTGGACCTACTGCTCCTCTCTGGACAAGCACGGATGGTAGCATTTCAGGAGGAAAACTGCTAAAAAGGAAAAGGAGCCAAAAAAACAGCGTGGCATGATGAGAAGAGTGTGAAATGCCCTGCTACTTTCTCTGGGTCTGATGAATGAGGCTGAGTGAAGGAAGGGCCTCGAAGGTTCTCCTGGGTGTTGGTCAAGGGCAGCCTCCCACCTGCTGTCTGGTTTCTTACTCCCCTGCTCAGGTGCCTCTCCAGAAGGCCCAATGCCTGGAGGTGGTGGTGAGGATGATGCAGAGGGGGCAGCAGAGCTCCCTGAAGCCACAGCCCCCGAGGGCCCTCAGGAACCCCAGGAACCCAGGAGCCCGCAGCAGGTGGGACCCTGACTGAGGCCTGCAAAGCTCGAGCTGTCAGCCGGGCAAGCTTCCCCACCCGTACGTGGGCTTTGTCCCCGGGCCTGTAGGTCTCTGCTCCTTCCCTCTGGTCCTTGCACACCAGGGTTGTGGGTGCACCCTCCAGATAGCCTTGGACCTGGCTTTGCACCCAGCCCTTTAGGGCAGTGCCTATCACGTCTTTCCTCTTTCTGAGCAGAACAGCTGCAGCTCCTCAGAACGGAGCTGGGGTTCAAGGGTCTGAGCCCTGTGGTGTTGGCTACCACCTAGGATGGCAGCTGGTTTCCAAAGCTGACTCTTCTGAGGTCAGGCTGGCCAGAGGGGGTGGGACTTTGGAAACTTTGGCTGCTTCCCTCCACCCCCAAGGGTCAGCTTTGTGTTTCAGCCTGGAGCTGAGAAATCTTTTTATTAAACTCTGATGCACATAGGAAAAATGTTATCATTTGTTAATTTTGATTGGTAGATACATGATGTTTATGTTATTATTATTATTTGGTATATTTTAAAGAAAAAAAAAAGCACCCCATGACCACTAGTTTACTAGTTTGTATGTTCTCCTAAAATTTTTCCTAGTTTTTGTTTGCCCTCAGAGGGTCCCTGAGGGGTTCTTGACATCTGACCCCAGAGCACAGCTGTTACAGGGCTGCCTGTGCCTTGGGTGGCGGGGGAGGAGAGAGGGATCCTGGGGTTGTTTCTTTCTTTTTTTTTTTTTTTTTTAAAGATTTTATTTGTTTCTATGAGAGAGAGAGAGAGAGAGCGCACATGAGAGGGGGGAGGGTCAGAGGGAGAAGCAGACTCCCTGCCGAGCAGGGAGCCCAATGCGGGACTCGATCGTGGGATTCCAGGATCATGACCTGAGCTGAAGGTAGTCGCTTAACCAACTGAGCCACCCAGGTGCCCCCTTGGGGCTGTTTCTTTGCAGGGTGCTGCCCAGCCTAGTCGGTGCGTGCTACGGGAGCGAGAGGAGCCAGCGCCCCTGATGAAGGTGAGGGGCAGTGGGGCTAAGACCCACTGCCAGAGCCCCACTGCCCACCCCTCACTCCTGCTAGCTTTCAGAGCCTTGGATGCCTGGGCTCCTAACCTGAGGCCCTTTGTGCTGGCTTTCTTTTGCAAGGAATCTTCTTTCTCCAGAAATTAAGTCACCTCTTCTGCCGCTCTGGGGCACCTCCCTCCCTGGTGTGTCACCCTTGGTCCTGGATCCTCTGGCAGTCACTGCACTCAGTGTCTGGGCTTTTGAGGGAGGGTGCACATCCCCTGCTCCCCCCGCCACAGTGTCTGCTTGTGCTCTCTGCTCAGGAGACTCCGGACCCCTGGCAGAGCCTGGACCCCTTTGACTCCCTGGATTCTAAGCCCTTCAAGAAAGGTAATTGGGTGGAGGGTCACCTTCATTTGGGCATCTGTGGATGGGTTCTCTGGAGCACTGGTGGTTGATGAGGGTGGGCTCCATACCGGTTAGGAGCCTGGTGGGGCTGTGCTCCCTTGTGCAGTTGCTCCTGGAGTGTGTGGGTGCCATAACCTGCCCCAGGGCCCGAAGTTGTGCTTGGAGACATAGTCGTTTGCCCCCAGGTAGGCCGTACTCTGTGCCCCCTTGCGTGGAGGAGGTTCCAGGACAGAAGCGCAAGAGGAAGGGCGCCACCAAGCTGCAGGACTTCCACCAGTGGTACCTGGCTGCCTGTGAGTGGTGGTGGGGCTGGGCCAGGGCAGGAGGGTCCAGGTACAGCCTACAGGGACTTGGCTTGGTTCCTGCTGACCAAATTCTCTTGAAGATGCTGACCACGCTGACAGCAGGAGGCCCCGGCGAAAGGGCCCGTCCTTTGCAGGTGAGGTCATCTCTTGAGGGACAGTGGTGCTGTGCCATATTCTGTCTGCCTCCCCTTGACCTGGGGGGTGCCCAAGGCTCTAGGTGGACTGGGGGTGCCCTGTGCAGGACATGGGAGCCCCTCTTACAACGCTTTCATATGCAGACATGGAGGTCCTGTACTGGAAGCATGTGAAGGAGCAATTGGAGACTCTCCGGAAGCTGCAGAGGCGGGAGGTAAGTACTGGCCACTGTCTGGACCCCACATGGCCCCTAGTGGGGACAGCAGTGCCCCTCATAGATGCCGTCTGCACAGATGGCCGAGCGGTGGCTGCCGAGGCCTGAGGAAGGGCTGTGGCCTGTGGAGGACCAGCTGGAGGACTCCCTGGAGGATCTGGGGACAGCAGGTGGGAGCCTACTGGGATGGGCCAGGGTGGGGGGTTCAGCATCCGCTGCCAGCAAACCTGCTTCCTGCTGGGTCTTCTCTGTCTACCAGCAGATGACTTTCTAGAGCCTGAGGAGTATGCAGAGCCTCAGGAGGCAAAGCCTGGGGAAGCTGCAGACCTGGGTAGGTCTGAGAGGGGGCTGCTGGCCAGGGGGCCACTAGGGGCCTCTGAGGACAGGGGAGGGAGGAAAGGGTGTGGCCCGTGGCCACAGCAGCTCATAGTTGCCCCTTTTCCAGAAGCAGAGGCCATGCCAGTGTCCCTGAGCTATGAGGAGCTGGTCCGAAGGAATGTGGTAAGTCTGAGTTAGAGCAGGTGGGCTGCTGGGCGAGAAGGTGGCAGAGAAGGTGGCAGCTCCCTGGTCCTCCCCTAGGAGCTCTTCATCGCCACCTCTCAGAAGTTCGTCCAGGAGACAGAGCTGAGCCAGCGCATCAGAGACTGGGAGGACACTATCCAGCCCCTGCTCCAAGAGCAGGTGAGGGGTCGGGCCAATCTCTGGCTGAGAAGGAGGGACTCCCCTGCTGCCTGCCTTGATTTTGCCCCAGGATCTTGCCCCTCCTCCTTGCAGGAACAGCATGTGCCCTTTGACATCCATACTTACGGGGACCAGGTAGTCTCAAGGTTCAGCCAGCTCAACCAGTGGTGTCCCTTTGCGGAGCTAGTTGCTGGCCAACCTGCCTTCGAGGTGTGTCGTTCCATGCTGGCGTCCCTGCAGCTGGTGAGTGGCCTGGGGAGCCTGGGAGGGAAGTGGTCCCCGACTCTGCTGACACCTCCTCCCTACAGGCCAACGACTACACCGTGGAGATCACCCAGCAGCCGGGGCTGGAGGCGGCCGTGGACACCATGTCCCTGAGACTACTCACGCACCAGCGGGCCCACAAGCGCTTCCAGACCTATGCTGCCCCCTCCATGGCCCAGCCCTGATTTGGGGAGCACTGAGGCTGAGGGGTGGGCTCTGGAGGTCCATCCCTCATGGGTGCTAGGCATGCATCTGCTCACTCTACCCTTGTTTCCTGGCTGGCCCAGCCCAATAAAATGGTGTTGCCATCCCACCTAACCCTTAAAAAAATTAAACTCCTGCTCTGTGCAGAGAAAGGGCTGCCTATACCCTACGCCCTCGGCCAGTGACCAGGTCCTGAGCCCTTTCCTGCCTTGGCCTTCTGGGGCTGCTGGGACAGAGGACAGGCACACAGTTTGATCACACCCTCTTTAATGACTTGATTCAGCGCAGGACGCTGCGGAAGGCAGCCATGTGGCACCTCACGCTGTCCGCTATCTGCTGTGCTGATTTGGCCCGGCCGTAGTAGTCTGTGAAGAGGCCATCAGGGCTGAGCAGGTAGATGGCGATGGAGTGATCCACAATGTAATCCTGGTCATCATCCTTAGGGCCAGCGCTGTAGTATACGCGGTAGCTGCGGCTCACCTGGGCTACCTGCTCAGCAGAACCGGTCAGGCCCAGCAACCGTGGGTGGAAGTCCTGCACGTAGCGGGCCATGGCTGCGACAGTGTCCCGTTCGGGGTCCACAGTAATGAAGATAGGCTGCACTGGGGGCAGGCCAGGCTCAGCCTCCAGCTTCTGTACCACCTGCACCAGCTTCTCCAGCTCATCCGGGCAGATGTCGGGGCAGTGAGTGAATCCAAAGTACATCAGGACCCAATGACCCCGGAAGTCAGCTTTGCAGCGAGCCTGTCCCCGGTGGTCCAGCAGGCTGAAGTCACCCTGGCCCACGGCTGCCTGGCGCAGGGCCTCTGTCCGCTGTTGCTGCCGCCGCTGCTCCTTCTCAGCCCTTGCAGCCAGCCAGGCCCCGCCCAGCCCAGCCCCAAACAAAGCAGTGATCAATAGCCTGGTCCGAAACCCAGGGCCCTGGGGCTGGCTCTGACGGCTTGCCTCTCCAGGGCCCTGCCTTGACATGAGCCGGTACCTCACGTGTAGGGCCTCACCTCCTGGGGTCCAAAGGAGAGCTGGGGGCTTGAGAGGAGAGAGCCTATGCCAAGCCTTGGGTGTCCAAACCAGCAGCAGCATTGCCCTAATGCTCCTGGAAGAGAGCACAGGTGTCAGGGGCCTGTAGTGGCCTCAGCCTCCTGGGTCAACCCCCATGGCTCTGGGGAGACTGGACACCATGCAAAGGACCAAGCCCATACTCAGGCTCACCACAACTGCTCCCTTAGTGCTCTGCAGAGCACAGAAGTGCTTCACCGATGGAAGCTCAGCTCCAGCTTAGGTGTCCCCCAACGCCCACGCCTGTTAGCCTGTCCTCCCACCCCGGCCCTCGGTCCTGCGCCTGCAACTCTGTGTGGCCTGGGAAGCACTCCTGCACCTCACCATCTTAGCTGACGGAAAGCATTCCAAGTGCATGCCTTGCCTGAGCTCCTGAGCATGTGTATCTGTTTGCAATAAACCATTTTTGGAGGCGGGGGAGTCTGGTTTCACCCCCCAAGGATGGACTCCTCCGGCCCTTCTGCGGCCTGCCCACCCCGCGCTCAGCGGCAACCCTGTGCGCCCACACCATTTCGCCCACAGGGCGCCCCTTCTATGTCGAGCTTTCCTGGTGCTCTCACCCCGGGGGAGAAGCGAGGTCTCGACGGGCACAAACCCACCCTCTTCACATCCGGGATTCCGACACCGAATTCGGTGTCCTCCCTGCCTTTCTCGCAGGAGCCCCAGGAAAGTTTGCCAGGTGGAAGTCCCAGGACTCGCCCTCACCTGTTCGGCTGCTGAAAAGACCCTCCCGGGGATTCCTACACGTCTGGTCTCCGCCACGGCCGGGGGCTTGCGCTCGGGGCTCGATGACCTTCGGCACGTCCCAAAGCCTCTCCACGCCAGCTTCCTCCTTTACATACGCCCTCTAAGCTGTGCCCGGGATGTGCCTGGCAAGCGAAGGCGGCCTGTGGCTACTTCCTGGGCCCCTCTCTCCTGGGAGCCCCCACTTCCAGGGCGCCCTCCGGGACCCGCAGCTCTCTGCCCAGCGGTAAGGTCAGAAAGCGGGACACCGGCGGGGGCCACGCACCGGGCACGACCCAGGCTCTCTGGGACCCGGCGTCGGTATCGCGAGTTAGGGCACAGCCCCGCTCTCTGCGAGCTAGCCGCAGCGGCGGGCTCAACCACGACACACGGTCGGGGTCGCCAGGGTTCTGCGCTTCCGGCGCGCTCGAGACCAGCACGCATGCGTCAAGGGCGTCGCGCAGGCGCAGGGGCATGCGCATGCAGGCGTGAGGCGCCCCTCCTCTCCCCGCCCCCTGCCCCCACGCGCGTGCGCAAAAGTTGTTCGTCGCCACCTGAGGCTAAGTGCGGGGCGAGGCGCGGCTTCCTCTCTGGCCCCGCCCCTCCCTGCTCCCTTGGGCGGCTGCCGCACCTCCCTCGGAAGCCTCGGTGCTCGCTCCCTCTCAGCCCTCCGCCGACCGCCCGCGCGCCAGGCGCCGACCCGGCGTCGCGCCCTCCGGCCTTACTGCTGTGTGTCGGTCCGCGCAGGGCGCGCGGTCCGTGGGCACGACGTCTCCTAAAGGCCACCGGGCGCGAGGAGGGGCGGGGATCGGCGCTCGCCGCGGCGCAGCCTCGAGCCCACCGCCGCCGGGGCCGACCCCCCGATTCCCCGCGCCGCTGACCCCGGACGAGCTCCGCGGAGCCGGCCCGAGGCGCCGCGGTGGGGGACAAGGGGGTCCCGGGGGGAGGGCGGGAGGACCTGGGGCCCGCGGATGAGGATCCGGGACTCAGGAAGGAGAGTGGCCAGGGCCAGGGCTCGGGGAAGGAAAAGAGATAGGAACTCAGAGAAGGGAAGCGGCCGGGTTTGGTGGGGGAGGGACGGAGGGCTCCCGGCGCCCACTGTCCACGGGCGCGTGGAACTCCTCTTGCTCCCGGGCGCGAGGGTCCCGGAGCATAGCTCTCAGTCCAGGCCCAGGTCCAGGCTCTGCGCCCGAGCATCCACTCGAGGCAGCCCCGGGGCTGAGCATTCTTCCAGCACCCAAGAGGCTATGGGACCAAACTACCAGAGTTAGGAAGGGGAGACTGAGCTCACATTAGGAGACCCACCCAGACAGAGGCCACACAGGGTCCAGCAGGCACAGGTGCTCACCAGTGCTCTAGCCAGCTCCTGGGCATGGCTAGGGAATACTTGCCCCTCCAGACTTCAAGTCCACCACCAGAGTGGATGGGCTCCCCACCAGCTTTTTTTTCCCCATCCATTTGACAGGGAAAGAGACAGCGAGAGAGGGAAAACAAGCAGGGGGAGTGGGAAAGGGAGAAGCAGGGTTCCCGTGGAGCAAGGGTGCCCAGTGCGGGGCTCGATCCCAGGACCCCAGAATCACGACCCCAGCCGAAGGCAGACGCCTAACAACTGAGCCACCCAGGCGCCCCTCTCCACCATTTTCTGACCGAGGATGAAGGCTGTGGGGGGAGGCAGAGGGGGCTGGAGGTGATAAGGAGCCTGGAGCTTCCTAGGGGATGTGGGGAATTCTGACTCTTGGGTCAGTCATGAAAGGTTAAGGACCCTGAACATTGAGGCCAAGTTCCCTATGGGGGAGGGGGCATCAGTCAGGTCACCCTCTTGAGTTGGTGGTCAGGCATCTTGTTTTGTTTTTTAAATAATCTCTACACCCTAGGTGGGGCTTGAAACCACGACCCTGGCTTCAAGGGTTGCATGCTCTATCAACTGAGCCAGCCAGGCGCCCCAGTGGTCAGGCATTTTGTGATGAGGGGACACTGACCCTGGGGTTGGTCCAGATCGTCTGTTTTGGGGGAGGTCCCATGGTCCCCTGATGGGGATCTGGACTTTGTGCGGTCAGAGGTCAGGCGTCTTTAATACGCAGGAGGTAGACCCAGAGTCTGGGGTCAGTTTACCTGTGATGACTAGGAGGCGTTAATAGTGGCTGACACCTCTGGCTTCATACAGGAGTCCATCCACAGGAACCAGCCTCCTGTCCTGATCCACAGGACAGCAGCCCACTCCCTCCAGCAGCCCCTACATCTGGCCAAACTCCCCTGCATCAGGACTCCCAGTGACTTTCAGTGACCCCTGCACTGACACTGTCATCAGCAACCATGATGAGTGTCCAAGACTATGACCACAGATTTATGAACAGTTCTGATAAGTCCTCATTAATGACTGGTCTGACCCATCAGGGATATTGACCAATGTCCTATGGCCCATTAATGATTGATTAGAGATGCAACAGTGATTTTGATCAAGTCCCTATTAATGACTCCAATCGAAGTTTCTCTGAAGACAGAAGTTCAATGACCATCAATGACCCATAAATAACTTAGGTCATTCATCAGGGTTGGATATTGATCAATCAGTGATTCTTCAGAGATTCTGGCCAATATTACTATCAATAACCTAGATCAGTGAGCAGTCAGCCCACCTGAGCTCTGGATGACAGTGAATAGAGAAATCGACTCCAGTTTATCCAAGTTGTGCCCCGCCCTCCAGACCCCATCTCTTGATCATTGGTACCTGCTGGCAGGGGTGCTGAGTGCACTGCACAGCTAGCCCCCTTACTTTCCCTGGTTAGGACTTCAGCTGGAGTTCTAAGCAGTTGTAGTGGATGTGCCGCTGGTGGAGAGGGAATGGGAAAGAAATTGTCCTGATCTGGTATGGGGAGTGATGAGGAGGACTATCCTGAGGGCTCAAGTCTGGGGAACCAAGGAGAGGAACACCCAGTTCTTCCCTTGGGAGTCCTGACTGGGGTACCCAAGGGGCTGGATAACTTGGTCCTGTTATGGGGGCTGATGGGGGGGCACCTAAGTTCTGTCCTGGGGGTGAGAAGCCTGGGTCTGCCTTTGGGGACTCCGTCTAGGCCAGGCTTGAAATTAAAAACTGGCTTTGGGTTGCTAACCTCTTTAAGGTCTGGAGAGGAGGCATCTTCTAACCTTGCGGTCCACAGGCAGCCAGGGCAGGTAAGAGGACCGGGCTGACCTTGTCACCCACTCCCCCTGTGCAATAGTTGTCTGTGAGCTGCTGCCCAGACTTGGCCAGGGCCTGGGTCAGCGCCACTGTCTTCTCCAGGTCCATGCCTTGCAGTGGCATGGCCGTTAGCATGGCCCCGAGGCACGGGATACGGCGCTGTAGCCAACACGATGGGGGTGCTCCCACAGCGGTGGGTTATCCTGGGGTCACTGACAGGGGTGGGGCTCTGTGGGGCCCCCGGGGGCAGGCGGTCTCTGGGGCTGATCTTGGGCTCAGAGGCGCCCATAAGTTGCCGCGCACCAATTTGCACGCCCTGCGCGCGCTCCCGTCCACAGCGCGCACGAAGCCCCTGAGGTCTCCCTAGCTCGGGCGGCCTGTCTCGTTCAGACAGATCAGCTACGGGAGTCGCTTGGGCTGTGGAGGGCCCTGGCTCCCTGTGGCCCCATCGCTCCGGGCCTGCGGGGTGCGAGACAGCTGGAACCTGCCGCCGCCCTGTGTCCGTGTTTCTGCGGCAGGTGCACTTGTCCCGACGGGATCCGGTTTCTCCCTTTCGTATCCGCACCTCTGTCCTGTGTCTGTGTTGTCCGTGTGCGTGTCTCCGTGTGCGGCTTCCACTTCTCGGGCTCAGAACTTGACCCCGGCCTGTACCTGTCCCGGACAGTGGCCCTCACCGCTCCTGCTTTAGATTCCAGACGCGTTCCGCCGGGCCTGGCCCGCGGCCGCAGGAGGACGGCGGATGGGCCGGGCCGCCCAGACAGGCGGGATTCTGGGCCAATGGCCGCCTCAGGGGGGCGGGACGACCCTGCTCTCTTCTGCCCCGACCAATCACGAAGGCCCCCGGGCGCGCGACTTCCGTGCCTTCCCGGGCCCGAGCATCCCGCCGCGCACGCTCCCCGCCCCGCGCGCCCGCCGCGAACGCAGAGAGGGGGACACGCTGCTGGCTCGGGAAGCTTTAAGCAAACGTCTGTGGGGCTGCGCCCTCCCGGCCGGTCAATCATCTGCATTGGTCAGGACCCGGGCCAGGTAGTCCGAGTGCCGGATCCCGAAGGTCCAGCCGCGAGGCTTCCGGTGCTGCGGGACCAGGAGACGTCGCTGACCAGCCAGCCCCGCACCGGGACCCGCCCCCCCCCCAGGACCCTGACCCTCATCCTCCGCCTCTGACCCTTGGCCCGGGACCCCAGACCACCTGGTCCACGTTGTAGGCTGCGGGTCCCGGATTCAGGGTGTTGTCTTGGGGGAGTGAAGTCCGCGCCAGCATCGAGAACTGGGGGGCCCGAGACTTGTAGATCCCAGTGTTCACCACGTGGTAGGCGCAGGGGCCCGGGGTCTGTGGGAGGGCGGCAGGGGCGCTGGGTCCGGCCTTCATTCCCCGCTGACCATTGGCCCTCACCTCTTACTTCGTGACCCCCTGTGGCCGGCCCCTTCGACCCCTATCTACACCCCGCCCGGCAGCCCCTCCCCCACCTTGCTGAGGTCCTCGAAGAAGCTGCCCACTGCGCTGCGGCCATAGATGGAGTAAGTTGGGGCCGAGACTTTACCGATGACGCGCGGACCCAAGAGCGAGGGCACATTGTAGGTCCCAGGGCCTGGGGAGGAGCCAGAGAAGGGTGGGTCTAGGGGTTAGTCTTCGCGGACAGGCCAGGGTGTCCTTGCCGCAGCCTGCAGAGTGGTTCTCCGTCAGGGATGGGAAGGTCCACGGTGCTGGAACGGGCCTTTCTGGTCTCACCTGGGGTCTGCTGCTCCGCAGGGATGCCCCAGTTTCGGGGAGCGATGGTATGCCGAGGCGCAGAGGGGTACGTCGCGTTCCCAGCTCGCTCAGGGAAGTACCTGCCTGCGGGGCGGACCGGGTGTGTGGGCCGGAACCGGTTTGGGGGCGTAGTGGGGACCCGGGTTGGGGGCCTGGGGTTAGGGTGAATCCGAGCCACAATTTGTCAAAGCCCGGTGGGGCTTTGGAGGTCTTTTGAGATCCGGATATGGGGGTACCGAATTTGGAGTGGTAGGGTACACGAGGGTGGCTCGGGGCTCAGGTGGGGGCTTCCCGGGTGGGCCTTCCTGGAGGCGGCTCGGTGTTAGGGAGACCGGGGTCCCAGGGGTCCTGACCAGGTCCGGGAGTGAGGCGGGGCGCTGCGTGGCGGGGGCGGCCGTAGATGGAGTAGGCGGGGGTGCCGTCGGGGCCGCGCACGGTCATGCGAGCAGGAACCAGGTGGCCGGGCCCCGGGCCGCAAGAAGTCTGCTGCGTGGGGAGGCGCGCGCCGAAGGAGAAGGCCGGGGCGCGGGGCCGCGACGGGTCGTGCAGGATGTAGCCTGCGGGAGCGTCCCAGCACCACTATGGGTCCCCGTCGCTCCCTGCCCCGGACACAGCCCGCCGTCCCCCCAGACCCCGCTGGCCCCTTCCTTGTATACCCGCCCGACGCCGGTACCGGTGTTCGGTGGCAGCTTGTATTTGGGCCCTGGGCCTCTGTAGAGCGCTGCGATGGGGCCGCGGGGCCGGTGGGGCCGCCAAGGGCCGACCCAGATGTCCGAGCCCATAGCGCGCAAGGGTGGGGTGCGCTTACGGCCTGCGGTACCTGTGGACAGAAGGTGGCGGCCCCGGCCCCTCCACCCACAGCTTCCGCAGAACGCACTTCTCCCCTCCAGCTCCTCGCGACTCCGAGGGCGGGGCCCATCGTGTATCCCAGGAGCCGGGAAAACAAACCCGAGCTTTCCCGGCCCTGCGCGGGGGCGGGGGCCCTATCTCCCATCCCCTGCCCCCAAAACGAGTCCAGTAGGGATGTGTGAGCGCACAAAGTTTGGTCTCAATCCTGCGGGAAAGGAGTTCCCTGGGGTCCTGGGGGTCGGGATATTTTAGGGGCATGGGACAAGGACACCGGGGTGGGGGGGCGGCGTGGGGAACCCGGTGCCCAAAGTTGATGCACTAACCTTTTTTTGTGGCTGCCGGCCGGGAAGGCAAGGTGGGGTACCTGGATTCCCGCCCCCGCCCAGCCCAACTCCCAGACCCCATTGTGTCCAGATCCCGCCTCCTGGCAACGGGGACTGACCTCCCCGTACCCCAACTTGGCTCCCCCCACCCCCCCCCCCCCCCTGCCGACCCGGCTTTTCGTCCTCGGAGTCCAGGGCACTCGCTGGAGCCCTGCAGACTAGGCCTTGGATCGGAGCGTTGGTGCCACCCTTCCCCAGGCTTCAATACACCCATTCCAGAAATGGACGGATCTGCAGAAAAACAAACAAACAAAATATGAGAATAAAGAAAATAAATAGTACAGACAGAAAGTTCAATTTAATTTTTATGTGTAGAGAGAACTTTGCATCTATTTAAGCCCACGGAATATTTGCAAAAATAATCTGGGCCACAAAACTAAAACCAAACATACAAATTGAATAAAGAGTCATAGGACACATATTTGCGCAAAGTCCAAAATAATTTTTTTAAAAAGATTTTATCTAAGGCAGAGAGCGCATGCGTGCGTGTGCACGCAGGCCTGTGAGCTGGGGGAGGGGCAGAAGGAGAGGGAGGGGCAGTGAGTCTCAAGCCGTCTCTGCCCGGAGCCTGAGTGGGAGGTGGGGCTCCATCCCTCCACCCCGGGACCGTGACCTGAGCCAAACCAAGAGTCCTGTGCTGAACCGACTGAGCCTCCCAGGTGCCCGCAAAGTCCAAAAGAAATCTAAGCAAACAATAAAATATTTTTAAAAGAAACTTAAATACTTAGATATTAACAAATTCTCTTAAAAACCACTGGATCAAAGGGAAACTCAAATGTGAAGTTACACATTATATGTAAAACCTTGCAAAGGTAGATCAGATCCCTCATATCCAACTCTATAGGACATAGCTAAAGCTATATAACTTCATTATTAATGAGGAAAAAATTTAAGTATAAAGAAACTTATTATTTATCTTAGAAACAGGAAAAAGAACAGTCAAGTAAACCAAAAGAACGTGTCCATTCTCCCGAGCACGCCTGCTTGGCTCCTGGAAGAGGAAGGGGTCGAGTGCCCAGTGGTTTGTGGGAATTCTGTTCTTTGCTAAGGGAGCTCTGAGCCCAGTGTGGCATGGAATGAGAACCAACATGGGGGTTGCTGGGAGTCACGTCTGGTTCCTCCAAGGGGACCTGAGGGCTGAAAGGGAGAGGCAGGTAGAGGGTGCCTTGTCTGTAGAGAATTTAAAAATAATACAGCCAAAGTTGATCAGCTTTTTATTATTCCGATGAGACCAGCAATTCTAAAGATCAGAGATCAAATACTCCTACTCCACAAATCTTTTGTTGATCAAGTTTTTTTTTTTAAGATTTTATTTATTTATTTGAGAAAGAGAGAATGAGAGACAGAGAGCACGAGAGGGAAGAGGGTCAGAGGGAGAAGCAGACTCCCCGCTGAGCAGGGAGCCCGATGTGGGACTCGATCCCAGGACTCCAGGATCATGACCTGAGCCGAAGGCAGTCGCCCAACCAACTGAGCCACCCAGGCGCCCCTGTTGATCAAGTTTTTAACAATACTTTGGTTACCCTTGAATTTTAGTAGGGTATATGTAAGTTTCAAATTAGCAGTTTTTATCCCCCATCCTTTAGGAAACATTGTATTCTGTATGGACATTAATTCAGACCCACTACAAGGTTTTCTTAGGAGGCTAAGTGCCTCATGGTTGGGCACTGTGAATGGTTTTTAGAGCTCAAAGGGCAGTTAGTGTCTCCTCTCCCTGAGATAACACGTATTTCTCTCTTTAAGCCTTAGATTTGAGATGAACAGTGACACCAGAGTGGTTGTAACAAGGAAGAAACCACTTCAGTTTTCTCACTTCTGTAATTCTGTGACTGTTTGGAGTGTTTATTTGTGTTTAAAATTTAAAAGCTGTAATAATTTTGTTTGGTGCAAACTTTATTTCATATGTGAAATACCTTACTGAATTTGAATATTTTAAAAACAAAAGTATTTAACAATTGCTAATTTTAATTGCTTATTAAAAGTAAAGAATGAGTCAATAATTATTGCTGATTATTAGATGATTATTACTGAAAATCATATTGCAGTATAGCAGAGGAGGTGTTGACAAAAGATCCACTCTGGGATCAGATACGCCAGGTTTGTCCACCTAGATGTGGGATCTGTGGGGTGTGGTGAGCTGTGGGCTCCTCGGGGCTCCTAGCAGCTTGGCCATCCAGGGACAGCATTTTAGTGGGAATTGGGACCTGAGCGGGCAGTCCCAGGGCCAGTGCCCACCCTTGTGCCCCAGGACTCTCTCCACCAGGTGGAGCAGCAGCTGTGAAAAGACAGAGTCAGAGGAGGAGGAGCTCCCAGAATGTGGGCAGAAAGTGAGGACTGGGGGCAGGACTGCATGCCTGGGGTAGTGGACAGTGATAGGACATGGTTTTTCAGCCAATGAATGCTTTGTTTCACTCCTCCCATGGAAACAGCTTGATTTCTACCCAAGATATATGGATGGTGCATCCTGCCAAAAGGAAAAAGCCAGCCTATGCAGAAAGACACACAGCCACAAGCAGAATGCCCCTTGATGCTTGTCCTAGCCCAGAATGGGCTTGTCTTTCGTACATGGTTCTGTGCCTGCCCCAGGTCAGCAGGGACAGTGCTTCCTGTATGAGGGCTGTATGATGTCATGTGATTTATTTAACCAGTGCTCATACTTAGGTTGGTCCTGCAGCTTTAAGACTGTAATCCCAGGTACTATGAATGCCACTAAATAAATCTTCATAAGTTTCCCCAAATACTCTTCTTCTTCTTCTTCTTTTTTTTTTTTTTTAAAGATTTTATTTATTTAACAGAGAGAGACACAGCGAGAGAGGGAGCACAAGCAGGGGGAGTGGGAGAGGGAGAAGCAGGCTTCCTGCTGAGCAGGGAGCCTGATGCCGGGCTCGATCCCAGGACCCCGGGACCATGACCTGAGCCGAAGGCAGACGCTTAACGACCGAGCCACCCAGGTGCCCCTATTTTTTTTTAAAAAAGATTTTATTTTGGGGGCGCCTGGGGGGCTCAGTCAGTTAAGTGTCCAACTTTCGATTTCATCTGAGGTCATGATCTCAGGGTCGGGAGATCGAGCCCCATGTTGGCTCTGCACTCAGGGGCGAGTCTGCTGGAGATTCTCTCTCCCTCTACCCCTCCCCCCTCCAAAAGAAATAAATCTTAAAAAAAAGATTTTATTTTTAAGTAATCTGTATACCCAACGTGGGGCTCAAACTCATGATCCTGAGATCAAGAGTCACACGCTCTACTGACTGAGCCAGCCAGGCGTCCAGGATGTCTTTGTTACATATCTTAACTTTTTGGGGGGTCGTATGTTTTCCAGATTTGTTATTTTTCTTTCTATTTTGTTATTGGTAATTTTTTCTGTACAGAAGAATGACATTTTTATACAGTCCCATGTGTCAAACATTTCTCTCGGGGCTTCTAGCATGGTGGCACAGGGAGAGCACCATTCAGTTGTTTATTCAAGCATGCACACGCACACACGCACACATGTCTATGATTTCAAAGTTTTCATCATTTGGGATTTATTCTGTGTATAGTATGAAGGAAGAATATACTTTATTCTTCCCTCCTCCAATACCATTTATCAAAAAAAAAATCGTTTCCCCGATTATTTGGAATGCTAACTTGGTCATATTCTAAGCTTGCATAGATTTGTTTCTGGGCTCTACATTCCTGTCTATTCCTGTACCAACGCTGTAATGTTTTATTATGGCTTTCTAGTGCCTTTTTAAAAGATTTTATTTATTTATTTGAGAGAGAGAGAATGATAGAGAGCACGAGAGGGAAGAGGGTCAGAGGGAGAAGCAGACTCCCCGCTGAGCAGGGAACCCGATGCGGGACTCGATCCAGGGACTCCAGGATCATGACCTGAGCCGAAGGCAGTCGCTTAACCGACTGAGCCACCCAGGTGCCCTTTCTAGTGCCTTTTGACTTCTGATGGGGCAAGTCCCTTCTCTTTTGGCTTCCTTTCCAAAATTACTTGGATTAATTTTAGACTTTTTTTTCTAGGTGAATTTCTGAATGAATTGCAATTGGCTGGAATTGTACTGACTGTGTAGATTACTTTGGGGAAGATGGTCTAGGTCATGGTTTTGCGTTTCCAGTTGAGGAACAGGTTATATTTCTGTAGGTCCAGGTTGGATCTGTTTTGATGGAGAGAGAGAGGGTGGTTGGAGGTATTATTCTGGAGGTAAAACTGACCTGCTTTGCTAATGTATTGGCCATAGAGATGAAGGGAAGGTGGGGATTGCACGTTGCTTTTTGGCTTGATGGGCCGAGCAGTGTGCAGCTGTGTCTACCTCCGCCCAGCCCCAAACCCGCCCTATGCTCTGCCCTGACCCTGGAGGGGCCCCTCGCGTGGCCTCCCTTTTGCCAACTGCTGTGGTGTTAGGTTTTGTCCATAGAGGGTGCTGGAGGGACACGCCAGGACTGGCCTGGAGAAGGGCCTTCATCCTCGTGCTGGGGGGCGGCGGTTTGGTGCAGGGGCCAGGGTCCGATGGCAGGAGGTAGGAGGCTGTCACCTGAGCAGCGCTCCCAGGCCGGGGCTTCCATCACCTCCTCTCAAGTTTCTCCGCCCCGCGGCAGCTGCTCCCACACCCCAGCTCAGCCTCGCCCGCCCAGGCCGGGCCACCTGTGCCAGCCCGCCCTTGGGGGCGGGGCTCTTCCGAGTCCAGGTTCTTCCCTCCCTCAGCCCTGCGGCTCTAGTG